AGTTCCAGCCCGCCTCATGTGGGTTTGAAGGTTGCTATGTGCCTTTGTCTCAGGCTGACAGTCACCACTTTTGCCTCCATCTAAGCGTATAATTGGAGCCGGGTAGCCTTCAAACATGCCGACGTTTAAGGAGTGGCTTGGTAGTGCCGGAGGCTATCTACTTGTGGGCGGAGTTAGCTACTAGGTTCCCCAATATAAACTCGGAGAGCTATCGAGCATTAAGCAATAGGAGACCGGCCAGCGGAGCAGAGCAGAGGCCAGCCGTCGAGATAGGCCGTCACCAGACGGGGGGTGACGCTGCCTGAAAATTGCAGACACCCCCCCCCCCTCTCTATTCAACTTAGACTCAGTCCTCGGTGAGTGAACATTTAGGTGACTTGGTCGTGTTTACATATGTTGTGTGATGATCAGGGGCAGTCAAGTTGTAGGGTTCTCGAATTCTTGCATGATGACTCACTTTGCATATTAAACTGGAACATTTTAATTGAATTGCTAAATTATGATACTTCATGTGAAATATAATTATGAATTTATTATTTAAGTTGTGTTTAACTTTGTTCCCTAGAGCTTTGAGTTGAGGTGAGAAAGCCTCTGTGGTTTCAATATTTTAAGGAGTACATGTTTGGAGTTGATACATGGTACAGAGGGAACATACTAATAATGAACTCATGATAACATCTTTTGAGAATATTTTGATACAGGCAAGTTCCATTCCTTGTCTTGTATGTAATGATCATGAATGGATGGTGGCAGCATTTCGTCTTCTACTATCTACTCTTCTACTTCTACTATCTACTCTTCTACTTCTACCTATCTACACCTCTCCCTCCACCCCCTCTCTAAACTCTCACTTTCAACTAATGACCCTCCTCGCTCCTCCCACCTCTCTCCCTCTCACCCCCAAGCCCTCACTAATTACTTCACTATTCATTTCTTTCCTTTCGTTTTCTCTTATACGTTTGTGGCAATGATTCAGTATTCTAGAGTTCTCTCTAGAGTTCCGGGTAGCTGATCCAGTTACGGCGCCTTGTAGTCTTAGCACCTAGGTAGTCGAATACCTAGGTTACAAGGTGTTGAACGAGAGAGGTTGCCTTAGGAACTCTGGAGGTGCTCTAGAATAGTTAGCTAACTGGGGACGGGATAACGGACTAGAGAGAGCTGTTTCCCCCGGCTTCGTTAGTTAACTGGGGGGTGGAATAATGGACAAGATAGAGCTATCCCCCCCACCCCCCGTTACACCATCATGCTGCCTCTTGGGTCAACAACACCTTTGACTCTGGGGTGTTGAGTCGACTCTGGGGACCCAGAGTCTTGAGTTGTTCATGTTGCTTGTTTAGAGATCCATGTTGCATGCTAGGTTTAGGTTGCTGCAATGCGCTAGATTGGTTTCACACCCGAATGCCCCGCGGCTGCCTCGCGGCTGACCCGCTTTGGTTACAGGTACCCGAACCTGGGGGGAGTTAGTCTCTTCGACTTTGGTTCAGTCCGCCCTCCCTGGTCCTTCCTCTGTTGTTCATTCTGCACCCTCCCCCTTCCTGCTTCCGGCTCCTAAACATCTGAGGGTTTCAGAGTAGGGGTATGGGTTGAGTTGATGATGAGACTCGGGCAGCTTCGTGGGCTGCCCTGTTCAGGTTGGGAACGGAGGCATTCAAGCAGTTTCCTCCTGCTGAGGCTTCTGGGTCCCATCTGCAGGCCCCCCTTCTTTTCAGCCTTTCCCCTGGACTCTGTCTTTTCTTCAGGGATAGAGGGTATGGGAGAACAAGTCTGCTCTGGGTCCCGACATGGAGGATCCCGGGGCTGGGGTGGAGTTGACCTGGGGGACCTTTTAACCCCTTTTGGGTGTTGGTGCCCTCTTTGCGGGGCTTGTCGTTGCAAAGGGAAGGAATTTTCTTACACCTCTCCTTCCCTGTATGAGTATGATTTGGGGGTCGGCTCCTCCCTCAGTTTAGTTCCAGGTTTCCTTGGGTTCCTCAGCTCCATCATTCTAGAGGTTTTCTACCTCTCGAATCTCACCTAAAGAGGTTCGGGAGGGTCCTGCTGCATACCTCCTGCGAGACCGGGATTGCGCCTCGATGATAGAACCGTCCTTGTTTGAGTTGGATTCTTTTTCCTCGTATTGGGTGCGTTTGGAGGTTCCGGACTCTTCCTGGCTGGCAGACTGCCCATTCTTTTTGTTGGGGGGCGTGGCATGGGTTTTGTCGGACTTGCACGCTTGATTGGCAAGGAACTTGTACCACTTCCCCAAGGTCTAGCTGTTGCTTCGAGTTGTAGCTCGGTTAGAGTCCTACCAAATAAAAGTATGCAATGCGTTATAATCTGGAAGAAAATGAGGTTGAAGCAGTTGAAAAGCCTGATTTCAGGAGAGGTCATTATGGGGAACTCAGACATTTCTTTAAGGAATTTTACTGGAAAGACTTGCTGTTAGGACATAAAGAAATGAGATGTATGTCAAGTTTTGTGAAGTATATGATAAAGACACAAAATTTTTTATACCAAAACAGAGATGCTAAACTAGGAGACAGGATTGGTTCAATAGAAGTTGCGAGAGGGCCAGAGACCAAAAGGCACAAAAATGGAATCAATATAAGAAAAAAGTGTCAGCAATGAAATGGTGCATTGTAATGTTCAGTTTTGTTGAAGCCTCTATTACTTGTTTTTGGGGGTTGATGGTTACCCTCCCTCCTCTCTTAAGTTATCAGTGGTATTTTTACCACCTTCGGACAACTCATGGCTTTCCAGAATTTACTTGACCATTGGATTGGGTTTCGGCATTCTTGCCTTCCTCTTACTTTTGGATTTCTCATTCTCTTGAGTGTTGTTTATTCAAGGTTGCAATTTTGATATATGTTTTCCAAAAATTGCATCAGTGAGCTTATTTCTCTCTGCGAAGAGATTCCTCTCTTTACATTTAGCAGTGTCTCTCATTTTAGTTAGGGATGAATCTGCCACCTTCCAGAGAATCACTTTGTCATTGATGCTTGGATTTTACAGTTGTACAGTTCATCGTACAACCTTATATGTGTTTATATAATGCTGCATTATCTGAATGGCATTATTAGAGCTTGGTAATCTGAATTCTGGTAACCCACATCTTTGGGTAATCTGACTGAATTCATGATCATTATTTGCATGTAAATGGCAGGTGTAAATAGGTAAGCCATGCGATTGCAGAGATGAATGGTGGGAATGTGCAGGTAAAGAAAAATTTGAATTTATTCAGTTTTGGACATTCTTGATAAGAAATAAGTCAAATGTTCTGCTAATTAAAATAAGGGTGGCAACCCCATAATGATTTGAATTATCGAGTGTACACAGTACTTGGGCTTGTTGTTGGATGGAGGCTATCTATGTTAACCCTAGGTCCTTGATTTCTTGTTCCAAGGCTCAGCTTAACCGAGTCATCAATCAGATTGCTCAGTTCAGCTGGCTTTATGTTTATCTGCGTACTGATGATGTGTTGTAATTCGCTGTGTTTGTGGCCTTCTTGGCTAATATCTAAGCTTGAGGATTTTGGGTGATCCAGCAGTGTATTGATCTCTCGCACTACTTATTGATTGATCTATATTGCGTGATGCTTGGGTGATTGATGCACTGCTGATGTTTTTCTGCCTCCTCCTCCTCCTCCCACAGGTAAGCTCTTTAACGTCTTTATTTTGGCTTACGATATTGTGCTCTTTTTTCCAGCAAAGCCCTTCTTTGAGATGTCATTGGGTATAAGCTCTGGAAAGCTATTGACTGGGCCAGATCAGAAATAAAGCATTGAATTTAATGAAATGCCCCTTTCTGTGTGGTTCCTCAGTAGCTTCCCATTCATTCCCTGTTGCCCCATTCCTTCCCTGTTGCCCCATTCCTGTGGGGTTTGGGTGAGGAGGGTGGGGAACCAAGATCTAAAGTGGCAGAAGTCTGGTGAGGTTTTTCAAGGGTTATACACTCACTGCAAACTATGATTTATCTTGGTTCTTATTTTTTTTTTTAAGAACAGTGGTTTATTTTGTTTCACCTGTGATTTTCTTGGTTTTGGATCTTTAATACTGGTGACTGAAGCTCCGGAGAGCTACTGAGCAATTGCACAGAAAAGATAATTTCATTACTCTCTATGCTTAATTTATATATACATTTCTTAATCGTTTTGCGTATCTTATTTTTTTGCTACATTAGATCTGTCTGTCTGCGATTGTAGCTTCATAAAGTTGTAGTTATGAGCGTTCATGCTTTTTTCCTTCCATAATCATATCTGCAAACAGTATTTCAGTCAACATAAAAAATTAAATTGTTTCTGATGCTATCAATAAAATATTTTTGATTATTCATTATCTATGAAATTCTGTTATTGTTTATCATCAATGCTATAATCACCAGCACTTACCAGTTTCACCTTCATCAGCCTTTCTTGTCTTGTATCCCTCTTAAGATGATTGCATGATGCATTCTCATGACAACTGTAGCTTGTTGAAGCTAAAGTTGCTGCTGCAGCTTTGAGCTAATACAGTGTCATGGTTATGGACATATTTGTGAGCCTCTGTTTGGTCTCCAGCTGTTCACTGTGTTAAATTGCCCTGCAAGACCTCTAGGAATGATTTGCATGTTTCTAATACAGTATTATTTATTATTTTACCCTTCTTGCATATCATACAAAATATCATTTGTGTCCTTACCGTAGAAATTATATTTACTCAGTAAATGTTCAACCCATTTACATGTTGCTCTGGATAGTTACATTGATGTTTATACAATGGAATATGAGTACAGTATGTACCAAAATTTGTGAAACACATTCATTGGAAATGTAGTTGTAGATATCACAAAACATGGTTAATTTTCCCTTTTAAGTGTATGTATATCTCAAAGATTTATATAGATTCTCAATGTAAGTACAGATATAAAAATTATTTATATGCATATCAAGAAACCCTCCCATTTCATCATCTTGATTCTGAACTGTAGCAAAAAAATCCTCTAACACAGCTTTAAGACTAGCTCATAACCCATTTTCTTTACAGCTAAAGCTGTAGAGGTTGATGCTGATAAAGGTGATGACAACGATGATGCGCAGCAGCCGTCATGGTGGCAGAGAAAGAAAAAAGGATTTGACCGGTAGGTTTGCATGCTAAATTTTTCATGTGAGGCATGTTCTTAAAGTATGATAGTTAAAGTCAAGAAGACAATTCCATTAAATGTTGTTCTAAATTTAATATCTAAATTTAGTTTTTATGGTACTAATGGCAAGATCATAAATTTACTTCTCATGAAATTTACAGAAATTTAATTTCTGTAACATAAAAAAAAACTCCTGTGATAGGAAGTCATAGTTTTAAACCTACCTAAAGCTCAAATGAATTTGAAACCTTACTTAAAAAAGTCTGGTATTTCATTATGTGATAAAAGCAATGAGAGGCTCCTACAGTAAGGATCTCCAACTCATCAGAAAAAGTTAACTGTACACCTATTTAAATAATATTTTGATTTTAAGTTGTGTGCTCCCATTTCTCATTTAATGTGCATTATTATTTAAGAAAATAATAATGTGGGTTTCAGTACAGTGAACTACAGTAGTAGTTCACTGTAATTACTGAACTTTTGTTACAGCTACACAGCTACATTTTTAAAGATTTGATTGACATAGGATGACCTTTTAGTTTTAAGGATTTATTGAAGCTCTTTCCTTTATTGTCATTAAGAAGGTTAATTACTTGAATTATGTTATTCCTTTTTGATTAACTGTTATAACACCATAAAATTCATACAGATTTAGTGTCTAAATAATTAAAGAGATGTGATTTAATATATTTAATCACCTATATGAAATACTTGTTTATATGTTTTACTTAGGAGATAAAGTATATTTGCAACATATAATACTTATCATTGAATACATTTTGTAACCACTTTTTTAACCCTTAAATTGCGCAAATTGTATATATACAATTTGAATAAATGTCGCTGAACTATGCACAATATATATATATATATATATATATATATATATATATATATATATATATATATATATATATATATATATATATATATATATATATATATATATATATATATATATATACATACATATATATATATATATATATATATATATATATATATATATATATATATATATATATATATATATATATATATATATATATATATATATATATATATATATATATATATATATATATATATATATATATATATATATATATATATATATATATATATATATATATATATATATATATATATATATATATATATGCATGCAAAGAAGCCTGAACGGTCTCCAGGCATATATGCAACTGAAAACTCGCACCCCAGAAGTGACTCAAACCCATACTGCCAGAAGCAATGCATCTGATGTACAGGATCCCTTAACCACTCAACCAACACAACCAGACAAAAGAGGATGGTAGCCAAGGCTAATTCCTATTCCCCCACATAATAGGGAGTGAAGTAATGCACTCTGTTGGTAATCTTGGGCATGGTATTTTATCAAATCACCTCATTCTTTGGGGCACATGCGAGGAACACAAATGCGAACAACCCTGGAAAAGCTGCAATGACATGCCACTAAGTGGCTCCCAGAACTGAAGGACAAGAGCTATGAGGAGAGGTTAGAGGCATTAAATATGCAAAAACTAGAAGATAGAAGAAAAAGAGGTGATATGATCACTACATACAAAATAGTAACAGGAATCTATAAAATTGATAGGGAAGATTTCCTGAGATCTGGAACTTCAAGAACAAGAGGTCATAGATTTAAACTCACGAAACAAAGCTGCCAGAGAAATATAAGAAAATTCACTTTTGTAAACAGAGTGGTATAAGGTTGGAACAAGTTTGGTGAGAAGGTGGTGGAAGCCAAAACTCTCAGTAATTTCAAAGTGTTATCTGACAAAGAGTGCTGGGGAGATGGGACACCACGAGTGTAGCTCTCATCCTGTAACTACACTTAGGTAATTACTCAGTACTTTGGAAGTAAGTAATAACTTACGAAGTAGTCCATGGTACACAGTACGACTTCGCTCTCGTTGCATCAGGTACAGATAGATTTTCGCTTCTGTTTCTTCGTTCTGTGTACTTGCAAATAACGCACTCACATACACCCTTGGATTTAGTACTTGTAGCTGGTATGTAGCCAAGCTTGTAAACATAAGGTAGTATTCAAAAGATTATAGGAAAAGATCAATTTGTAAGGTAGTCTTGAAAAGATCGCTTTGATCCCACACAGGAAGAGATTCAGACACCCTCGAAGAGTGTTTGTCAATCTACAAGAGATTCAGGCATTCTTGAGAAGAGATTCAGCCAGCCTCAAAGAGTGTCATGCAATCTGGAAGAGATTCAGGTATTCTTGAAAATATCTATGGAAAACACCACCATGGAAGCTGCTAATACTGTTCATCTATGCTACTTAAATCAGATGCATCATCACTGTATGCAGAAAACAATTCATCTATGTATAATCTATATAAATTGGAGATGGCATAGGTGGGCAAGTGTGGCGCTCAGAGCTTCAACTGGATACGCTTGTTGTATCGTCCTCATAGGTGCTGTATCACTTGCATCCGACCTTTGTGTTAGTCCTTAATTGTGCCTAGCTTCACCTATATCATGACCCTTATGTTCTTCAAACAATAAGGTTTGAATTTCACCGACAGTGCAATCTTTCAACACCGCGTCAGAAAGGTGTTTGGGAGCAAGAGGTGCGTGTGCTACCCATGGTTGCTCACTCAGTACTAACCCAGCCAGCAGCCCTAAGGCATTCTGGGAATTTTTTCCAAGATGGCTGCCTCTCACTGGAGGTCCTAAGAGTCCATTTCGTACACAACCAACCGCGCACACATTTTGAATGGGTACGAAAAAATAAAAAAAAAGTTTTCTTGGTTGGCACAGTTTCCCACTGACCAAGTTTTCTCTGTTGGCGGGTGGTGTCAGAGGAGGCAGGTGGTGTCATTAGCGGAAGTTGTTGTCAGAGGAAGCAGGTGGTGTCGTTGGTGGAAGTTGCTGTTAGAAAAGATTGGTGGTGTCATTGGTGGAAGTTGTTGTCAGAGGAAGCAGGTGGTGTCAGTGGTGAAAGTTGTTGTCAGGGAAGGCAGATGGTATCAGTGGTGGAAGTAAAATACAAAACAAAATAACAAATATTTATTCAGGTAAAGTTCATACATACAAGGTGAAATACAAAAGTTGATGGATTTATAGATAGAGCTAGTACATACAATGCCTAAAGCCACTATTACGCAAAGCGTTTCGGGCAGGAAAAACACTAAGATTAAAACTTAATAATATCTTAGATAAAAGTATAAATTGTGTTGAGAAAAATCAGAAAAAAATTAATAAAAGGGGGGGGGGAACATGTCAGAAAAAAAGCAAAAATACAATTTGGTCAACAAACAGCATTGTTTAAAATCGTAGACATGGGTTGACATTTAGGGGTGAGGTAGGTTACATTGAGTTAATTAGGTGGTATTTAGTTTTTATCTTCAACTGGTTGCGAGAGGTAGTCTTTAACATAATTGGGATGGTCATTCCACATTCGAGGTCCCTTGATTTGTAAAGCATTTCTAGTTTGACTAAGTTGTACTCTTGGAATGTCAAATAGGTATTTGTTTCTGGTGTGGTGCTCATGGGATTTGTTACAACCTTCTAGGAAGCTTTTAAGGTCAGGATTGACATTACAGTTCAGCGTTTTATATATATAAAATACACATGAGAGGATGTGCAGTGACTTAATATCTAACATATTCAGAGATTTGAGTAAGGGTACCGAGTGATGTCTGGGGCCAGAGTTAGATATTGTCCTAATAGCAGCTTTGTGTTGAGTAATTAGAGAACGTAAATGATTTTGGATAGTAGAACCCCAAGCACAAATACCATAGTTGAGGTAAGGATAGATGAGAGAGTAATAGAGTGTCACCAGGGCAGGGCGAGGTACATAATATCTGATCTTAGAAAGAATGCCAACAGTTTTTTAAACTTCTTTTGATATATTTAGAATGTGTCCCTGGAAATTCAGCTTTCGGTCAATGAGAATGCCAAGGAATTTGCCATCTACTTTGTTACAAATTTGGGTATTGTTAGTCCTGAGATTTATTTGATTTGAGGATTTATTGCCAAACAAAATATAGAAAGTTTTGTCAATATTGAGGGTGAGTTTGTTGGCCGTTAGCCAGTGATGGATTTTATTTAGCTCAGTATTCACTGTGACATTTAGAGCAAGGGGGTCAGAACTGGAGTAAATGTAGGTCGTGTCATCAGCAAATAGAATTGGTTTGAGATGTTGGGAGGCATTTAGGAGGTCATTAATGTAGATGAGAAAGAGGAGAGGGCCAAGTATGCTTCCCTGGGGAACACCAATGTTGATGGGTAGGGTGGGAGAAATTGAATTATTCACAGATACATATTGGAGCCTGTCAGTAAGGTAAGACTTTAGGTACTGTAGGGAGTGACCTCTGACTCCATAATGTTGTAATTTAAGAAGAAGGTTTTGGTGATTGACAGTGTCAAAATCCTTACGCAGATCCACAAATAACCCAATAGGGAACTCATTTTTATCAAGAGCTGCATGTATCAAGTTAATCATACAAATAAGTGCATCATTAGTGCTTTTTTTGGGTGTGAAGCCATATTGAGAAGAGCTAAGTATATTGTGTTTTGCTAGATAAGAGTAAAGCTGCTTGGAGATAAGTTTTTCAAATATTTTAGACAAGTTTGGCAGAACTGATATAGGTCTGAAGTTGTTAACATCAGTGGGATCACCACATTTGTGAACAGGGGTTACTCTTGCTTTTTTTAGAATATCTGGAAAGGCTTGGAGTTCAAGTGACTTATTGAAGAGCAATGCAATGGCAGGAGCTAAAAATCTAGAGGCTTTTTTGTAAATAAGAGTTGTTATCTCCTCAAGAACACTAGACTTGGTTTTAAGGGAAAGAATTATGTCAGTAACATCAGTGGAATTAGTAGGCATTAGGTACAGAGACTGTAGATTATTATTTAAAATCTTCTTTGATCCCAATATTTGTGAAATTGTGCTCCATGTTTTCTTAATGTTGCCCTTTGTGTGGGTAAATTTATCTTCGTAGTATTTAATTTTGGCT